TTGAGCCAATGCGTTACACGCGAATGATGGGGCGGGGGCTTGGGGGGGGGCTAGTTTGCGACCTCCTTCATTTAGGGTCGCAACATATACTCTAAGTACTTGTATTCACCCTTCATTTAGGGTACTTCATGTTGTTTTTTGGGTTTCTTGGCTGCAACATATACTCTAAGTGTCCATGGCACAGAGAGGGGGGGGGGCTGGAAGTCCAATCCCCGCATAGTCCCAGCCAAAATTATCGGGCTCCTCTCACATGGGGAACCCCCAAAATGTGTGGTGTTGGTTTGTTCCCCTTTGTTGCCACCAAAAGGGATACCCTCCAAAGAAGACACACCCACATAATTTGAAGAACCCCCGCCCCCTTGCGAGGGAAACAACAAGCCACATCCCCACAGGGTCCCCGCATTGGCTTGAAAGGAAACCCAGAAAGAAATTAATTCCAAGCACCTGGAATCTGGAAGGACACACAGACATTTCCCTTGACAAGGAGAAGCTGAGCCAAAGTTAATGAAAGTGACGGAAGCCAGCTGTTTCAATTTGGATGGGGCCATGATTTCTTTTAAACACATAGGGGATTAAGTTTTGGCTCGGGACCTACCAGCGGTGAACTAGTGACAGCAGACACCCGAGACCTCGTTACAAGAGCCATGGACACCAGAATCTTTGGGAACCCCATCGAACTGGGGGAGCGCTGCCGGGGAGTTTTTCGGATCACTGGCAACAGCAGCAGGGGCCATCACACCGCAATTCGCCTTCACGACAGGGTGTCGGTTACAATTTGTGGTGCAGTTTTGCCTCAGTGCGTGGTTTCCATCTACGACGCTGCGGTACAGACAGTACAGCCTTCGCCGCTGCTCCTGCTCGACGAACTCTCTTGGTGGACCCCGGCCCCAACGGACCCTTCTTTCCACTCACCCTGGTTGTTGGAACTGTGCGCAGGCTTCGGGGGTATGGGCATCGGAGCCTCGTTTCTCGGCGGACAACTCGGCCTCAGCGTCGATGTGAACACCGCCTCGGTTGAACACCTTCGCAGGAACGGACATGGCACCGTGTTGCAGCTCGACATCACGACCCCTGCATCAACGCCCATTATCCACAAAGCAGGTGACGGACGGACCTTCACAGCCACATTAGGATTCCCCTGTCATGGTCATCACAGGGAGCAAGATCCGGGATGCTCGACCGACGCACTCGAGTTTTCTACGGAGGATTGCACACCATCTGGATGATGCAATGTCAGGCAGCAGTTTTGGAGTGCGTGCCAGCCGCTGGGGCCAGCACAGACATCCGTCAGGCACTGCAGCAGCTCGCATCGGCCATGAACTGGGACATCCTCACCACCAACCTTGAACTGGCCCATCAATGGCCCTGCCACCGGCGCAGATGGTGGGCATTGCTGATTCCGCGCCAATGGAATACATGGCCCGCCACGGACCAGCACAAGCATGTCAAGGACATCATCCCCGGATGGAAACGCTGGCCCGAGGATGAGAATCAGCAGCTTTGGCTCACCACTTCCGAACTCGAGAAGTATCAGGACGAGACCTATGGATCCGACCGACGGATACTCACCGGGAACGACACTGCAGCAACCATCCTGCACTCATATGGCAACGCCATGCAGGAATGCCCATGCGGATGCCGCGCGATCGGCTTCAGCGAACACTCCCTCCAGCTTCGTGGGCTTCGGGGCTTCTTTGTCTTCTCCAAAGACACGGACACCGCCAGGTATCTTCATCCAAAAGAAGCCGGCCTTCTTCTCGGAGTTCCTGCCAAAACCAGATCATCCGGCGACATGAAGAAAGACCTCTGCCTCCTGGGGCTCATTGCCTCACCACTCCAAATGATCTGGATGTACGGCACGCTGTGGTATAACTTTGCCCACTTCACCACCGGCATCCCACAATGCTCGCCCGACAACCTCATTCAGCTCTACAAGCAGGAGATCATCAAGCAGTTCCACAGCGACTACCATGGGATCCTCGCCCGCATCAGCCTTTTCACAGTGGATGGTCGCATCCAGATCCCAGTGCAGAATCGGTTCGACATCAAACAACTGCTCCAGGCTGAACGCATCAACGACGAATGGGGCAGCAAGGGTACTCTTACGCCCATGCACTCCCTGGAGCAAACCCCTGACGACGGGCCGCAAGATGCCTTCCACCTCCACCGACAGCCGAAACGACAACGGACCGAACCTCCCACTACTCCTATCACAATCAGGATCCTGTCCCCAGCAGGGGTATTTGAATCACAACACCAGCCCGGTTGCTTCCTCTTCGAGGCAATCCGCCTGCATGGCATGCTCGAGGTCAACTTCGTCACGGATGAGTTCGGCCACATCGTCGGAGCAGACACAAAGGTTTGGATCTCCACAACCGTATGTTGCAACGACTCCCCCAACCGCATCACAGCCTTTGGCAACACCGGGGCCGGACAAGGGCTCCACGACGGCACCATTTGGAAATCCATGCAACAGATTGCCTCTGCTTTCACAACCACCACCATCGCGGGCATCTCACCACTCGGCGCTCATGCGATTCTTGCGGAGAACCAGGCCCTGCACATCCCAATGCCTCCAGCCGGCACCAAAGTCATTTGCATCTTTGAGGCACACTCCCACTGGGCATTTCTTGGTGGGACCATCTCCGATCAACACATCCAGTGGGAATACTTTGACGGCATCCAGTCACACATCACTGCCGCTGCTGGGCAGCTTGCCAGTCGCATTTCTGACATCTTCGGCATTCGCTACGCCGGCCTTCTCGCCCGGCAACACTACGCACAACAAGCCACTGACAACTGCGGGACCATCGCCATAGCACACTTGTGGGACTTCCTCAACCCACACCTCCACCCAGGCAACACCAACATCCACCGGCTCCACCACCTGCTTCTGCTGGAACAGGCCCAGCAACAATGGCCAGCACAACTTACCGCATTTGGGCCCCACTCCGAGCCCCTCCAGCGGTTAGCAACTCTCTTGCACGAGAAAGGCGTTCCTGCAGAAGCCAACGCAGAACGCGCACAGCTCGTAATAGACACGCTCGGAGTCCAACCAGTCACCAAAGCACTGGACTCGAAAACACCCTGGGCACAACTCAAAGCAATTGCCAGCAAAGATGATTCGGCTTGTACACGCCGACGAGCTTTCCCAACACGTCCGACAACAGGCCACCACCAATTTTGGCGCCAAGCTCGGGAATCACAAGCAGAAGAAATCTTTCAAGAAGTCTATCAACACCACTCAGGTACCACTCCAGGTCGACCCAGACTCTCTCGAGCTCTTTTTCTCGGGCCTTCATCGACAAGAACCAAGTCATAGTTCCCCAGATACCATTCTCAGCAGTCAACGCTGACGGAAGAGGCATCGCTATCTGCAGCTCTGCACTAGCATCTCCCTTCCTCATGGACAACAACCAACTCAGCACAGACGCCCTGGCGCTCCTCCTCACCGACCTCCCACATGAAGCGGCAACGATCAGCCGGACCATCATCAAGCTCAGCTTCCCAGCCAAATACAGCGGAACAAACGAGCCAATCCTCATTCACGGAGGGCTCATTCAACTGGGAGACATCGAGACTACCCGGGCACCGGCGCAGATCACACCGAAGCTCACCATCACCGCGAACAGTGTCCTCAAAGTCCAAATCTTTCGCGGCCTCCTTCAACTCGAATGGGCCAGATTCTGTCGAGCCCCGATCAGGGAACTTCTGCAACTTCTCCCACTGCTTCGGCTCTGTCACGCTCAAGGATATGACCCACAACCCAATCGATGAGACCGTCGACCAGGTCATCTTGGAACTGTGGGCGCGTGCCTTCACCAACACAGAGGGCCATAAGGCAACCGACCTGGAAGCCGACGTCTTCACCGTCTTCCTTCGCATCCCACTGTTCGCACTGAACAATATCCTCAACGCCGGGATCACAGGCGTGTTCATCGAACCCCGGGCCAACACCAACAAAGGGCCAGACCCAGGCTTCAAGGTCATCTGGCTACCAGGCGCCAACCATGCGCAGGCACTCCACGCCGCTCGCACATTCAACCGCTCCATATGCCATATGCGCATGAAGAACAGGTACGGCATCCGGGTCCAATCCAAGGACGAGGAACCTGCTTTCACCATCCTACGTCCCGGCGTCCCATTTGTCAGTGTGGACATCCAGCGCATCTACAACCTCTTTCCGGCCCCACATGGCACGCAGAGGCAATCCATCTGCGAGCTCCTCAAAACATGGAAATGGCCAGCCAAGGTCCTCCAACCCGGCCGGAGCAGCAAAGAAGCCATGTCCTGGACAATCGGAGCCAACGATGAGCCACCTTCCCTGGTTCTCCACGGTTTCGACCAAGACATCCTGGTCACCGAGGTAAAACAGCTTCACCGGGCCTCCGAAGCCCAACCCCTCATTGCTTCCCGCAAAACTCAGCAGCACATCCGGAAAGAGCACCTCGGCACCAGTGCCTCATCATCTTTCACCACCACCGACCCCTGGTCAGATCCAGCACACGATCCATGGGGCGCTGCTCACAAGCTCCAACCAGGAGCTAGCCTCAGCTCCGCCGGGGGCAAACGGATCGACCAACTTGGCGAACAGCTCAAGGCCGAAGTCACCTCCAAAGTGCAGATTGCACAGATTCAGCAATCCACCTCCTCAAAAGACCAGGCCGCATCCACGACCCTGCAAGACCAACACGACAAGCGTCTCGTCGCCCTCAAGACCAACGTCGCCGAGATCAACAGTCAGAACCACAAGTTCGGTATATGGTTTGAGGACGTCAAGCAGCAGGCCGTCACGACCGACAACCGCATGAAGCAATTCCAGACAGCCATCACACACCAGCAGGAAGAGATCCGCCAGCTTGGGGATACTCTCCACACCAACCAAGAGCAGCTCACCAACTCAATGCTCTCTACCATGGGCAACTTCCGCACCGAGTTTGGGGGCGAATTCACAGCCCGCCTCGATAAACTTGAGGCGCTTCTCGCGAAGCGCCACAAGA